TATCCTTTTGAACCTAACTTCTTGGGATCTTCAGTCATGTAGGTGGAGTGTCCATCAAACATCCTCTTAAGTCATAGGCTTTAAACCCAACTCCCTTTGATGATTTTAGAACTTGATCACGAGCTAGACCCTTAGTAAATAGATCTGCTAGTTAATCAGCAGATTTTATGTAATCAATTGAGATTACTCCAGTTGTGATCAAGCTTCTAATGGTTTTATGTCGTTTTCTTATATGATGCGATTTATCATTATAGAGATTGTTCAGTGCCCGGGTGATGGCCGATTGGCTATCACAGTGTACACGTATTGCCGGGACTGGATTCTCCCACATTAGAATATCTTCCAAGAAATTTCGGAGCCATTTAACTTCCTCTGCAGCTTTATCTAAAGCTATAAATTCAGACTCCATGGTTGATCGGACCAGTAGAGTTTGTTTGGAAGATTTCCATGATACTACTACACCTCATAGGGTAAACACATATGCACTTGTAGATTTCGAATTTTTGGTGTTGGATATCCAGTTTGCGTCACAATATCCTTCCAAAATTGCTGGTTTTCTCCCATATTGCAGCCCATAACTTTTAGTGTATCTAATGTAGTTTAGTACTTAAGTTATGGCTTTTCAGTGTTTGTGTCCTGGATTACTTATGTAGCGACTAAGTATATTTACCGTGTGTGCTAAATCAGGTCTAGTACAGTTGGTTAAGTACATGAGACTACCAATTACCCATGCATACTCAACTTGTGACACTGCTTTGCCTGAGTTTTTGGTCAAGTGAAGTTGAGAGTCAACTAGAGTTTTTCCAGTCCCATTTGAATCAACTGGAGTTTTTCCAGTCCTATTTGAATTGTTTTTAAAGCGTTCAAGTATCTTTTCAGCATAGTGAGCTTGAGACAAGACAATTCCATCATAGGTTCTTGTGATTTGTATCCCGAGAATGACATTTGCTAGACCCATGTCTTTCATGTCAAACTGTCCACTAAGCATGTTCTTAATTTGTTGGGTTATGTCATTATTGCTGCCAATAATTAACATGTCATTTACATATAGAAATAGTAGGATATAACCACTAGGAGTAGTTTTTATGTAGATGCATTTATCACATTCATTTATGCTGAAGCCATTTAACATCATTGCATTGTCAAATTTTTCATGCCATTGTTTTGGAGCTTGTTTAAGTCCATATAATGACTTCACAAATCTACAGACTTTGTGTTCTTGTCCCGAGACTACAAATTCTTCGGGTTGTTTCATATATATTTCCTCTTCTAATTCACCGTTTAAAAATGCAGTTTTGACATCCATCTGATGGATTTCCAAATTTCTTAAGGCTGCAATCTCAATCAGCATTCTGATTGAGGTATTCGAGTTATTGGAGAATAAGTGTCAAAGAAATCCAGACTTTCTTTTTGTCGGAATTCTTGAACTACAAGTCTACAAGTCTAGCCTTATATTTATCAACTGAGCCGTCAGTCTTCATTTTTGTTTTGAAGATCCATTTACATCCTCTTGCTTTAAACCCTTCGAGTAGCTCAATGATTTCATATGTATGATTTTGTCTAATGGATTCCATCTCACTATTGACCGCTTCCTCCCAAAGAGATGTGTCTGGAGTAGACATAGCTTCATTAAACGTTCTTGATTCGTTCTCGGTGAAAAAGACCATCATGAAGTCAGAACCGAAAGATTTTTCTTTACGCGCTCTTTTGCTGCATCTAGGTTCAATCTCTTCGTCTACTTCAGAAACTGGAATCCGCAACGAGTGCTGCGATTATAGGATTTGTTCAATGAAACTCTATCTCCAAGGAATCCGCAACGACAGTGACTTTGTTGATCCATCTTAAAAGCGACTAAGTATATTTAACCAAGTCGAGATAGCTACAATCTATCACTGTGACGGCTTATTCTTATGTGTAACCAACGAGGAAATTACTAGGCTCGTGGTATGGAGTCCCTATTCAGGGGAAACAAGATGGATCCAAACCAGGAAGAGTTTCCGCAGACATGACAAATTTGCTTTTGGATATGAGAACAACAACCGAAACCACAAATTCTTGTGGTTGGTGGGTGCAATGTCGTAGAAATCTATGATTTTAACTCTAATTCATGGACGGTTCTTGATGTCAAACCGGTGTCCACTCAATTCTATTATCAATGCAATGTGTCTTTGAAGGGAAATAGTAGTGCAGCGGAAACAACAAAGGATACAAAGTTTGAAATGTTTTTTTATTCGGTTTTGATTTTACAGCAGAGAAATTTGGACCGGGTCTTCCTCTGCTGTCTCCATCGTGCTCTGATGTTTTATCTTGTGTAAGAGATGAGCAGCTCGCTTTGTTATCTGAGACATTTGGGATAATGGAGATTTGGATTACGACTAAAATTTGAAACCAATTCAGTATCGTGGAGCAAGTTCTTGAAAGTTGATAAGAGACTGCTCACTCGTTTTCCAGATGGTTTTATAACTGGGGTTCTCTTTATTGATGAAGAAAAGAAAGTCATTGTTGTTTATAGTGTCCGCAGACATACACCAACCAATACATGTTCCTACGAAAAAGCATACATCATTGGAGAAGATGGATACTTCAAATCTGTGAGTATCGGAGATGCTCAGAAACCTGACAGATTTGGAAATTATAGCCAACCAAAGTTCACTTCTTATGTTCCAAGCTTAGTGCAACTAAAAGGAGAGAGAGAGAAAGAGATTATTAACTAGTTCTCATTTGCAATACTTTTATTTGTTTTTTGTATCATCGCCTTTTGATAAAATAAAAAGAAAGATTACTGATAAGTCAATTATTAACTTGTGTGGTTTTGCTATATATTGTCTAATAAAGTTGTCGGCTTTTTGCATGTTTTAGCCTCTTTTCAATTTGTTCATGTCAGTTGTTAGATGTGGTTTAATGTTTGAAGGAGTTGATCATGTGGAACTGGATGTGATTTAGTGTGTTTGCTTAATCATACTGATTTTCTTCTCTTAGATTGTTTATTGTCTTCCTTTTCCATTGATGTGTTGGTGAAATATAATACAGAGTCACCTTTCATAGTATTCCAAATGATTCCGACGGCAAAGTTATTATGATTTGATTTAAAACTGTAGCTAATAGCACTCTCATGATCAGACTAGCAAAATGCACCATGAGGACCTCCAGTAAACACTAAGAATATATCAGTTCCAAGCTTCATAACCTAAAGAGAGACATTCATGCATGAAAGAATCACGCACGGAATACTCTGATAATGATGGAACCCAAACTCTTACTCGGAGATTTTAAAGTTTAATGGAAGCTATTAAAAAAAACAAAAGGAAAGTACTGATTCTACTTACGTTAAGTTTTTAAAGTTTAATTGAGAAGTGATGTGGTCATTGAAGAGGAGATTCCGACTTTTCTATCTGCACTAATCAAAGAGTAAACCGACGCATCGAATGCGATCATGACAAGTCAAGTGGAGCCACCAAGTTTGTCTCTTATATTGGTGATAAGGACCCGAACTAAAAAACGAAGTCTTCTTAAACGCAATGCCAAAAACGAGTCAAAAATTGTTCTTTTGGTTCAACAACAATAATAGCAACGTGAAGAAGACAACGATTAATTCAAAACCTGAATTTCGCATCCAAGGAAGAAGACATTGAACTTCCAAGCTTTTTTAAAAAAATTTTATTAAGTGTTTTATTTATTTCTTCTCAATTTTCAATATGAGTTATTCTCTACTTATATTGAGTTTTTTCTTTTTATATGGCTTTTGTAAACCTTTAAAGACACGAGTTTGATTAATAAATTTGTTAGAGATTGTTCATCTTGTTTGGTTTCCTTCGAAACAGCTTCTAGGTAAGTAAGAATTTGTTCCTTAAAATGTTCTTGGTTAGTATCGGCGAACTTCCGCTCTCAGTCGTGGTGTTCGGCTTTCACTCCAACGTTTTAAACCCTAGTTCGATCCTGGAACGATTGTTACATTTTCTCTTACGCATAATTTGAGGTATCCGTAGAAGCGTGTATCAAGAGAAGATAAAATAATATTAGAAAACCTGTTGTAAGATTATGAAACAGAGAAAAAAATGTTTATGAAGTGTTTTGAAAACGGGACCGACCTAGTGTTCAGACCGGATTGACCACGAACCAGACTCTTGGCCCGGTTGGATTTTCATAATACCCAAAACCTTTCTTCCTAAGAAATCATTAAAAACCGCCAAAAACTCATGAACCAGATAAACCAAACGAACCAGTTGACTCCGGTTCAATAATTATAGTAAAATTTCAACATTTTTATAATTCTTTTCCATGATTTCACTTACTAAATATGTTTTATATCATAAATATTAATTAAAAACAATAAAATCACAAGGTTTTACTTAAAACTCTAAGAAACTTGATATTATAATATCAGAGGGTTTCTATTTAGTGTTGGAATGATTTCTAAAGCTTAAAATGTGTTACGTTAGTTGAATGTTTAGGATAATTTAACCTTTACAGTGTTATTATGTCCTACATATATAGAATATAGATAGTCTATATTAATTTGTTTATAATATTAATACTTGTGTATTTTAAATTAAGGTAATAACAAATTTGTGAACCAGGTTCGACCTGATCAGACCAGATTGAACCTTGACCCAGAGGCTTAACCGGTTTGGCTTTCGGTCCAGTTTTAAAAGCATTGCTCAAAACCAAAATTTTTCGGTGATAATGAACTTGCGCGTTTGCTAAACAAATGATCTTCTAATCTGCAACAACTTTCCTTTTATGTTTTCTTTTTACATATCCCCAAAATTAAACTCGATTTTTAAAAGAATTATTATATTAAGGAAGCAATGAAAAAAAGATATAGAAACTTTAGTAGGAAAAGGAAATAGATTTAATTGCGGTGACACATAAAACGATCGTACCATAACTTTATTGTTATATATATATATATATATATATATAAGAGTGGGCAAGCGTTGAATGTTTTTTTTTTTTTGGGTAAACCAAGGTTAAAACCTATTTGTTTGAAAGGTTGAAGAATGACAACAATCTCTGATCTTTCAGGAGACTTGGTAGGGGAGATACTCACTAGGGTTCCATTACCATCTCTAAGCGCAGTGCGATCTACTTGTAAATCGTGGAACGCTTTATCCAAAACTCAGATTTTTGGCAAAGCAGCAAGAAAGCAGTTTTTAGGGTTTATGGTGATGAACTTTAAAGTTTGTTCAATGAGACTTGATCTCCAAGGCTACTTCTTTGATCTATCTATAAAGCCACTGCATATATTTAACCAAGTCGAGATAGCTGAAGTTTTTCACTGCTACGGCTTATTGTTATGCGTCACCAACGAGGAAATTACTAGGCTCGTTGTATGGAACCCCTATTCTAGTGAAACAAGGTGGATCCAACCAGTGAAGAGTTTCTGCAGAGATGACATGTTTACTTTTGGATATGACAACAACAACCGCAACCACAAAATCTTGAGGTTGAATGCATATATCGCAGAAATCTACGATTGTAATTCTAATTCATGGACGGTTCTTGATGTCTTTCCGGCGTTGAAGGTAATCAATTATCGAGGCAGTGTGTCTTTGAAGGGAAATACTTATTTTTTTCGTGAAACGATAACAAAGGATATTTTTCTATCCTATTTTGATTTTACAGCAGAGAAATTTGGACCGCATCTTGATCTGCCGTCTGAGTCGTGCTCTCATGTTTTATCTTGTGTTAGAGATGAGAAGCTCGCTTCGTTACTTGAGACAAGTGAGAAATTGGAGTTTTGGATTACGACTAAGATTGATACCAATCTAGTATCGTGGAACAAGTTCTTGTCAGTGGATAAGAGACCGCTCACACGTTTCCTGGATGGCTTTATGACTCGGACTTTCTTGATTGATGAGGAGAAGAAAGTCGTTGTAGTTTCCGGTTTTCGTAGTACACGGACCAACACTTGTCCCTACCAGACAGCTCACATCATTGGAGAAAATGGATACTTCAAATGTGTGAATATCGGAGAAGCTCGAAAAACTGACCAACTTGGATATTATAAGTATAACCCACTTGTGTTCTCCTCTTACGTTCCAAGTTTAGTTCAACTAAAAGGAGAGAACGAGGTTATTAACTAGTTCTCATTTGCAATACTTTTTATTTGTTTCCTGTATCATCTCCATTTGAAAATAAAGTTTACTGATAAGTCAATTGTTAACTTGTGTGGTTTTGCTATTTATCAATTAATATAAAGAAGTCGACTTTAAGTTGCATGTTTTAGCCTCTTTTCAATTTGTCCATGTCTGTTTTTAGATATGACTTAATGTTTCTAGGAGTTGATCATGTGTGGAAGTGGAGAGATGTAATTAATGAATGTAGGAGTTGATCATGCTTGATTTTGTTCACTTAGAAGTTTATTGTCTCCCGTTTCCATTGATGTGTTGGTGAAATACAGAGTCACCTAATTTTTCCTCTGAAAATATTTTGAAATCTCAAAAACCTTTTTTATTCTGCTCTCTGGATTTCAGTGTTTATATGAAAAAAGAAAGTTTTTGTTTTTGTTATTGCATTAACTATGTAGTACTGTCTCATTGAGACCAATATTGCTTTAGGTTTACTCACTCTCTCTTACCATATTGCTTTAAACAAATTGTGATCCACAGTGAATAATTGGAGATACATATACAAGGAATGGTGGAGACAAGTCCTCTTAAGATACCTCTCGGCTAGTAAAAAGTAAGTTTTAAGGCCAAAGAGATTGAATAAAGAAGAACCATTATGGGTCCATTTTAGAAGAAGTAAAAAGAAAAAGTGAAGAGACAAAAGAGCTAATTATGAGATGCACTTGAGTACCCATGATGTGTTTCCCATATGCAACCACTAAGAGTCTAGTCTCTTTAGTTAGTTATTAGTATGAAACTAACCATCTCCGTGATTGAAGGTGTCCTAGGATAAGATAATTGATATTGTTGTAGTACACTCATAACAGAAATTTGGACAGTTTAACAAATTATGTAACTGGTTCAAGGTTTACATATGAAATATCAGTCAAACAAATAACTTTGATGATCTATGTTTCTTATAGGGATTATCATAATTCACGTAGTGATGCTGTTGTTCTTAATTCCCTTGAGACAATTGTTGTAATAATTGTTCTAAATCTGTTAATGTATCTTTTTTTTCTTGTCAAGAACATTTAGACTGAGCAAAAGATTTTTTTAAAAAAGGCAATGGTGGTGGTTATTGAATTGGACCAACGGGTGAAAAGAAAGGCAACTTTCAAAAGTTGCTTTCTTTTTCTTGTCTCTCTTTCTCTCTCTCTCTCTCCCTCTCTCTGGTCGTTCTCTTATATTCACACCACTTTTTACCTTCCAAAACCTCACTTTAATATTCTCTCTTGGTGCTGTGACATAGCAAAGAAAAACTTGGATACGCTTCTTTGTCGCCATTTACATCTCTCACCAAGGGTTTTTTGTTTTGAAAACATGTCTGAATTTGACATGTCATCTCCAGAAGAGAATCAAAACAGGAAGAAGATTGGTTTCTCTTCTCTTTTGCTCTCTGAGTTTCATCTCTTTTGCTCATTTATCCTCTCTCACCCATTCTACTTCTCTTACATACTCTTCTTCTCACCTTACATCTTCAAGATTATTTCTTTTCTCTCACCACTCTTTGTCACCACCACACTCTTGCTTCTCGCCTTGCTCAGTACTTTGCACAGTTGTTCTGACTCTGAATCACTTGAAACATACCCAAGCTTTCTCTTTTCCTTTTGTAGTAAACTCGGTAATGTCTTGGAACACAAGTTTGATGTCAACGATGAGGAAGCGTACAAGATGGTCGTTGAGGCTTGCTCAATGGAATGTGCCTCCGAGAATGAGAGTATGGAGATAACGTTCGTTGACAAATTCTGTAGCCATGAGAGCATCACTGTACCGGAAGCTTTGACACCTGTTGAGATCCAACCGTTGAAGTTTGAGGATCTGATGGTTATAGAAAGAGTAGAAGAAACAGAGAAATGTGAAAAGGAAAAAGAAAAAGAAGAGAAAGTCAAGCCAAAAAGTGAAGTTGTCCTTGAGAATGGAGAAGGGCAGTACTGGAAACAACCGACAAAAGAAGAATCCAAGGCTCAAAAAGTTGATCTTGTCGGAGATTGTAATGATGAAAACTATGATCTCCCAAAACTAAGTGATTTTCTTGGAGAAGAGAAGAAAAATGAAGTGGCTAAGAAGGAAGATGATGAAGATGTTTCTCTTAGGAGCTTTGGATCAATGAGGAAAGAGAAAGAATGGAGGAGGACATTAGCTTGTAAGCTATTCGAGGAACGACACAATGCTGACGTAGGACAAGGCATGGATCAGCTTTGGGAGACTTACGAGACCGAAACAGAGAAGAAGCAAACTGAAGAAGAGAAGAGGAAGGAGAAAAAGACAAAGAAGTCGATGATGTTGAAGACAAAGAGCATAGAGAAGAAGGAAATAGTAGTGGAACAAGAGGAAGAGGAAGATGAAGATGGGATTGATCAGCAGCAATTGTGTTGCTTACAGGCATTGAAGTTCTCAACAGGGAAGATGCATTTGGGAATTGCGAGGCCTAACCTTCTGAAGCTATCTAAGGCTTTCAAAGGGTTTGGACGGTTTTACAATGCCAACAAACATCCCAAGAAAGCTTGAAGGAAGAAAGAAGAATAAACTTTGTATTAATTTCGATCCATATATATATATATATATATATATATATATGTATAAGTAATTAGAGATAGCTATATGGTTTTGTAGTTTTGGGCAAGTTTGTATGCATAAGTATCTTCATATCTTTACTGCGTAAGATCCAGCTGGATCTTCACCCTACTTTTTTTTTTGTTCTTTTATAATGATCTTACACCTTACTAATTTTTCTTTCAATTATTTAAACAGATTAAAGACTGATCATATGATGGATCATTGGATCCATTGTTATCTCATATCTTCGAATATTATTATTATCTAAATTTGTACAGCAGTACTAAGGGAAAGTGAAACTAAAAGATTTAGCTAAAGCCTAAAATTCAATAATTTGTAGCAGTTTTTGGGCTTTGATCTTCAGGCTTTACCCTTCTTATGTATATGTTGGTCTTATCGATTTCCAAAAGAATTTCGCCGAAATACCGACAAAATCCTGAGGATCTAACAAAAAAATTTTGATTTGAGTCATTGACATATCATCATATGTATAAATGAAATAAATTTTTAGTTCTAAGCCCTCTCATTCAATTTTATGGTGACTAATTATCTTTTATTCCTCTTTAAAAAATAATTAATATTTATTAATTACTTTAAATTAAATTTAACATGATTTAAATTAAAAAGGATTTATAACCCTATTAGTATGCCGATTAAAGACGATCACGTTTTGAGAATAAAAATAAATCTAGATCGTAATCCCAAATCTAAACCCTAGATATGTATCATTATTTACGTTTGTTATATTCTTGCTATATTTCACATGATTGTATGGCTTTTGACTTTCTTTAACGTTAGTAATATAACTTTATGGTTTTGTTCACTATTGCAGAAAGATTAAGACGATGCGTATAAGTGGTGCTTTGGCTTTCTAACATAATCGATTTTGTGTAAGTTTATCGTTATTGTTACTGGTTTTTTTTTTATTGAATTTAAGTGCTTTGGTTTCAAGTTGCTTTTTGTTTGTTCTCGGCCCGTCAAAACAAAAGCGTGGTGCCGTTCCGGTTGTCCAATCTTCAGAGGTTGTAGCCTATCGTAGGACACCAACGCAACTCGGGAACGGTATTTTTGTTAGGCCTTCTTCTGTTGCCATGGGGAATCATGCAAGATGTTCTCTTTTTCACAATGACAATAACGAAGTCGAACATTGCGGTGACCCAGGATTTGTGAAATCAGATAATTTTCTGTTAAGTTTTAATCCAATAGCTACATCCTACAGGTGTCTCTCCGTTGATCCTGGTCTATACGATTCAATGGTATTCGTGAAGATCCTTCGTGTTATACTGTTAGAACACATAATTCACATCCGCCAGGAAGGGCTCGAGCTTGTATTATTTGACCAGCAGGTTTGCTATATTCGTACGTCCGATATGGTAATGTTTCAGAGTATTAAATCTATTAACATGTTTGTTGTACAGGGTATGAAGATACAAGCGACTGTCTGTCTATATTAAGCAAGAATGTTAGACAGAGCACATGATTTCTATCTATCATACCGCTGCCTTCACTGCGGTTTTGTGTGTTATTGTCTCTAGTGTTTGGATATTTATGTGTATTTATGGATTTTCATCTTGTTTTTCCGTCTCAATAGGAAAGGCTGAGATTATTTTTATTACTCTTTTAGATTTGGTTGCTCTTGGATATTTTTTTGGTTCTTTTCTTTTATTTGCGGGGAAGACGGTGAAAAAGAACAAGAAGAAGAAGAACAAGAAGAAGAACATAACTACTTTGATCTTTTGCACATTCCTCAGACTAAAATCTTTTTTCTTCAGAGTCATTTGATCTCCATTTTTCCCAATTGAAATTGAACTATTTTAGTATATTATTTGAGATCAACATTGTTGTTCTTTCTTTCTTCATTGTGGTTTATGGGAAGGGGAAACAGATTGTATAATGGAGTTTTTTAGGGTGTTGATGAATCTTAGAAGGCTTAGATTGCAATTAAAAATAAGAGAGGAAATAGCTGCCGTAATTACCTGGAGAGTAGCCACGTTTGATTGTAATGCTAGCGAAAATTTAAAATTATGTATTTTACCGATAACCATACTGGAAGTAAGAATTAGATGATTTTCTAGTTGGCTTTTCAAACTAGGAAATAGTAAAAAAAAAAAATAATCATCTAAACATAGGAAATGAGATTTCATAATTATGGTTTTTGGATCATGGAGCCGCTATTTCATTTGATTATCGTTTCATCACTTGAATTTCCCTTTTCTCATTTTGTTGGTATGAACCAAAGATTTTTTCCTTGGTGTTAGAGCTTTGCTTGCTTAGGTTTCATTTTATCTTTATGTAACACTAATCTTATTTGGTCTTTTAAGTAAATAAATATCTTCCTATTTTAGTTTCTTTACGAGCTATACCGGTTTAAATAGGAAATGCATTGAAATACACTTTATGTAGACGTTTGGTTTTAGTTCCCCTATTGCTATGTGTTAGAAAAACCTTGAAAAGTGTTGATATGCCTTGAATTCTGATGCGTAAAAGCTTTCTGGAGGATTCAAGTCAAGATGGAGATTTGTTGGTATGCCTTGAATTCTGAAGTGTAGAAGCTTCCTGACGTTGATGCGTGCAGATGCATGCAGGCTGTATTGGCGCTGATGCGTGCAGTTGCGTGCAGGTTGCATGATCAATCATACAGGCTGCAGGATCCAGCATGCAGTTTGCGTGATCAAGCATGCATGTTACTTGCAGCATGTTAAGTTTACATGCTGCATCTTGAGGTTGTGTGTGTATGTTTACACACTGCACACTGAAGCTGAAGTTGAGATCTACATGCTGTGTAAGCTGATGTCGAAGACTACAGCCTGCGTGAGCTATGTAGAAGTCTGCGTGCACTTGGGCCATTGTTTGTGCATGAAGATTCATACATAGACCTAAGTGAGCGAGCCCAATTGCAGTTAGGGTTAATATGGGTTCCTACTATAAGTATCCATGTTACCCTAATTTCTGATGTATTCTGAAACTTTCTGTCTCCGTAATAAAATCAGTCTCCATTGTCCGTGGATGTAGCCAACGCATCGTTGGTGAACCACGTTAAATCTGTGTGTGATCTTTACGTTTACTGTTTTCTTCTTGCATCCGTTACAACAAACTGGTATCAGAGCTCCAGGTTCAGGGAGTTTCCCTATCTGGCAAGAAGATTTCTGGGTTAAACGTAAGTATCAACAAATTCACAGGGAAGGATAGTTTCAGTCTCTAGCAGATCAAAGTGCAAACGTTGCTAAGGCAACAAGGCTTGTGGGCGGCGCTGTTAAAAGATAACAAAGGCGACACTGCTGTGATGGCAAGTCTGGAGGAGAAGGCACACTCAATGATTTTGCTCTGTCTTGCAGATGAAGTCATCATCGAAGTTTCTAACGAAACAACTGCTGCCAGTCTATGGGGAATCTGAGCCCAGTGAAGGGTGTCTGGTTCTACATGGAGCATCTGAGCCCGGTAAAGGGCGCCTGGCTCCGCATGGAGCATCTGAGCCCATAGAAGGGCGTCTGGCTCTGCATGGAGAATCTGAGCCCAGTGAAGGGCGTCTGGCTCCGCATGGAGCATATGAGCCGATGAAGGGCATCTGGCTTCGCAATGAGCATCTGAGCCTGGTGTGAGGCGTCTGGCTCCGCAGTAGCATCTGAGTTTGTTTAAAACGAGTCTGCCTATGCAGAGAGCATCTGAGCCCGTTGGGAAAGCGTCTGTTTCCGCGGGAAACATCTGAGCCTTGTGAAAAGTGTCTGGCTCTACAAGGAGCATCTGAGCCTAGTAAAGAGCGTCCGGCTCCACAGGGAGCATCTGAACCCGTTGAGAGGGCGTCTGGCTTTGCGAGCATCTGAGCCTATGAAGGGTGTCTGCCTGGTTTCTCATGAGCAGTCAAAGGGCGTCTGATTCTGCATGAAGTCTGAGTATCTGAGCTCTATGAAGAACATCTGGTTCTGCAAGGAGTATGTGATCTCCAAAGAAGAACGTTTGATTCCGTATGAAGCATATGAGCTCGGTGAAGAGCATCTGATTCTGCATAAAGCATCTGAACTCAGTGAAGAGCATCTGGTTCTGCAGTGAGCATCTGAGCACGGTGTAGGATATCTGATTATGCATGAAACATTTGATATCTATGAAGAGCATCTGGTTCTTCATGGAGTATCTGATCTCCGTGATGAACGTCTGATTCTGCATGAAGCATCTGAGTTCTATGAAGGGCATCTGGTTCTGCATGGAGTATCTGATCCCGATGAAGAGTGTCTGATTCCGCTAATTCCACATGAAGTATCTGAGCTAGGTGAAAGCGTCTGATTACGTATGAAGTATCTAAGCCCGGTGAGGGAAATATGGTTCTGCAGAGACTATCTAAGTCTGTTGAAGGGTGTCTGGTCCGAAAGGACGCCCGACTCCAAACAAAAGTCTGGTGCTAAAGGATGTTTTGTTCCGAAAAGACGTCTGATCTGGTCTGTAGGGATATCTTGTTCTCTGAGTATGGCAGACACTATGAGAGTGCATTTGGTATGTCTGATATGAATAACGTCTGGTACATCTGGCACCGTGAGGGTGTATGTCGTACATTATGAGGCATTAGAGAAGTCCAATATATCTGGCACCATGATGGTGCATCTGGTACCTGTCGTAAAATCTGAGGCAAAAGAGAAGTCTGGTATATCTGGTAACCATGGTGGTGCATTTGATACATCTGTCTGAAGGATTTAAGTCAAGGTAGAGATTTGTTGGCATGCCTTGAACCCTTATACGTAGAAGCTTTCTTGAGGATTCAAGTCAAGGTGGAGATTTGTTGATATGCCTTGAATCCTGATGCGTAGAAGCTTTCTAGAGGATTCAAGTCAAGGTGGAGATTTGTTGGTATGCTTTGAATCCTGAAGTGTAGAAGCATCCTGGCGTTGATGCGTGCAGATGCATGCAGACTGCATTGGCGCTGATGCATGCAGTTGCATGCAGGCTGCACGATCAATCATACAGGCTGCAGGATCCAGCATGCAGGATCCAACATGCAGCCTGCGTGATCAAGCATGCATGTTACTTGCATCATTTTAAGTTTACATGCTGCATCTTGAGGTTGTGTGTGTATGTTTACACACTGCACACTGAAGCTGAAGTTGAGATCTACATGCTGTGTAAGCTGAT